ATCAGAAGATTCAAATAGAACACTGCACTATTTTGACGGGTAGTAGTCGTAAAATAAAATTTCAGGAAGATTTCATCCAACGTCAAACGTCTTATTTGACACCAGAAAAATCAAGAAAAGTCTAAAGAACTCTAAGATGAGGAAAAGAGAGAAGAAAGGACTAACTATCGATTGTAAGACGACTGTATGTCGGGTCATTGACAAGAGAGACATCCCAAGATAGTTTCTTGGGTATGACGATAAACTACATCCGGCAACAAGGCCGCTGACCGAGAGGCTTTGGGGAGCGTGGAACTACCTCTTAATTGACGTTGTTCCCAGGTCCACTCTAACTTGTGGTGGTAGCACCTGTTAGGGTCCCAGTTATGGGCAAATAGTTAACCCCCAAACTGGGGTGAAAACTCTATGAAAGTGTAAAAATATACTTTTATAGTAAAACCGACGCTGCGTGGCTTCTCTCAGTCATTTCTATAAATATTTTCATGGCAACTGCTCTGACGAGCTTTTTTCTCTGGTGCCCGATTGGCATTTAGGTCCCACCCTTTTACTGTTGAATTAGTTAAATATAACCGCCACTTCTAGTTCAACAGTTTCTTTTCTCGCACTTCCCGCCTTTGGAAATCCATTCTGTTTACTTGATTTTACTACAATGTGCCATGTGTCCTTGACACAGTGGATAAAGGCATTGGTTAGATCCAGTGACAAGACCCAAAGAGTGTGAGTTCAATACCCGGTTAAGGCAGTGGAGAACTTTCAGAGGGGAATTAACAGGAGATAACTGATAATTGACATCCATTAAACATGGCACGTGGAACTAGAACAGTCTACCCTAGTGAGCGAAATAAAGGGTTCAGTTCGACATTACAACTACCTGAAGAAGGCCGGAACGTACAACGGCCGAAACGTTGTAATAAATATGGTGACAAAGATGAGGACAATAGTCCGAATAATGTAAATAGAGGAAACATTGTTGCTTTTAATGACGCGTCTATCTTCTTCTGTGTGCCGTGTCCGCTTAGGGCGTCGGTGATCATGGCTCTCCACAATTTCCCGTCCCTTGTAGTCATTAATAACTTTTGTCTTTTTGCTATATCTCCCATACTCTACTCCGCAATCCATTCATTCATGCTCTCCAGGAAGGTTTGTACGTTGCTTTCCTCTCTCTCTCTCTCACTTACTGTCTTGTGAGTATCACATTTTCCAAGCCTTCTTTCTTCATTATGTGTTCCAGAAAGTTCAACTTTTTCTTCTTGGTGTAAAGTATGTGTGCTTTTTGTTTCCATTCTCTCTAGAACTTTCTTGTTGCTCCCGTACTGTTTCTAAATTTTCTCAATGGTTATGAGGTCCTCCAATGAATCTGTTTCTCATTTGCTGCTTGTTTGTGATGTGGCCCGCAACATTTCCTTTTCTTATGCTTGGCACGTTCGCTATAATGCTGCTGCTAATGTCCCAGATGAAATGAATGATAAATTAAAAGGAAAAAAGGAAGAAGAGTTCTGTTACATTTTTAAACTGCCGTACCCAAGAAGAAGAAAAATATTGCAGGGATTAGAATAAAAGTAAGTTATTTACATTAGTTTTCACACGCTACCATAGTAAGCCTTGGAATATTAAATGCAAATTTACTCTAATTGTCCAAGACCCTATGTCTTCTACGCAACCACCCATTCGATTGGCTGATGGCCACTCACCCCACCAGCTAACGCCCAAGCTTTTCACGTTCCAAACAAAACACTTCATTTATATCTATAGCTTGAGGCGTTGTAATGGTTAACAAGCTTGTCTCGCTAGAACAATTAGGACTGAGTATTGAGTTCGATCCTCACTGGATGTTCCCTACATTCGGCCTTGTGCCACATGTAAGCTATGCTTGGGAAATCACAGGGAACCTCGAGGCGGTGTAATGGCTAGCAAGCTTGTCTCGCTAGAACAATTACGACTGAATAGTGAGTTCGATCCTCACTGGGTGCTCCCTACTTTTTGCCTTGTGCCACATCTAAGCTACGCTTGAAAAATCTCGATAGCTTGATTTGGTCAACTTCTGACTCGTTTTGTCGAGGCTATTTTTAACATCTTTAAAATTAAGTTATCAGCAGTTTTGTTAGTAATTACCTTATTTGACGGCATATAAGGCGCACTTTTTCTTTTAAGTAAAAATATCTTTTAAAATTCCCCTGTGTCTTATATGCCATACTAGCAGTAGAGCCCGGCGTTGCCCGGGGATATAACAGTAAGAGATAGATCAAGTATCCGCCATACATAAAGACTGAAAAATAAAATTGACAAAGATTATTGTTTAAGGTTGACGGACACGCATGTCTTAATTGATTGTTTTTTTTTTTTTACGAATTGGTCAAACCCAAACTCAAACAAAAACATTGTTTTCAATCGTTATGAGTCTCTACCGATTGAATAGAATTTTATTATAAACAATTGTCTTGTAAATGGAATTTTTAAAGCATTCTGAATGTAAAAATAAAGAAAAAAGTGTGCAAGACAATAAGAAACACTACATGCCAAAAAAAACAAAAAAAACGTGAAGTTTTGTTGAAATCGATTGAAAAATGTAGGTAGCCTTTCTGTAATCTTTTAGTTTTACAATTTATGATTTTTACTTATTGAATACAGTAAAAAAAATTGCATATTTTGCTTGTGGTGATTCATAATTAGAATTCTGATTTGAATATATTTTCCACTCGTTGTTTCTAATACAAAAAATATTAACTTTATTTGGGTTTATTAATTATGATCTAACAAATCTTATTCATTTAGTAGCCTTTTACGACGTTTACAAGATGCAGGTTGTACAGATCATATAAAGGATATAATAAAGTTTTTATGTCCTTAGTAACTGAAAGAATTTAGAAAACCTTATTGTATTCATATCGTCAACTGAAAATTACGTCACGTACTGTCACGTGTGGAAATATTGTTTTTGTTTTTTTCCCATTATTTTTCGTTTAATTGTAATCATGGCTTGTTTAACCAAAATAATACCTCATAAATATAGCCTAGGCTGCACCATTTACTAATAATTTTACTAATTTTACTAAGTACTATTTTTTCTTGACTTGCCCTGCTGAAATTGGGATGCGTCATATACACGAGTGCGTCTTTTATACCATCAAATACGGTACTTGAAAATGTTGATAGTTGTTATTTACTTAAGTCTACCATTCGTCTATACTTAGAATATTGCTTCCACATATAGCCTGGCGCTCCTGTTTTATATTTAGAGATCATTGATAAAATCCAAAGAAGAATCTGCAATGCTATTGGTCTTGTCCTGAGGTCTCGACTGCTGTCATTTTTCTACCATCGTAATGTAGCTTCCCTGTGCTTTTCTATAAACACTTTCATGGTAAATGTTTTCATGAACTCTCCTCTATGGTACTCTATGGTACTTTATGAACTTAAGTGCATTACTAGATTGTCGACAAGATATAATCATTTTACAGTCGAAATTACTAGATGTAACCGTAAGTTCTATGCCAACAGTTTTTTCTCGCACTTCTCGCTTGAGGAACTCTCTTCTGGCTTCTTGCTTTCCAATCATGTTTGATCTTTAAATTTTAAATGCAGTGTCATTTTTTTATCTTCTGCCATCTTAAATTTTCTTTTATTGTTTTCTTTTCTTAAAAGAGTTTTTCTTATATTCTTCCATACTAGGTAACCCCATGTGTGTTAGTGGCTCTGTTGCCTTGCTTGGGGTGAAATAAAAAATAAAAAAGTAGATACTTTTTAAAAATGTAAACTTTTATTAAGACTCTGTAACAATAGTAACAAAATGATTAAAAAGCCATTATATTATAAGATCCACAAAAATTCATTAAGCACTATTTAAATTTACGTTATTTACAGTTTTTTCGAGAGAATTACTAAACTTAACAATTGGAGGGAAATAGGAAGAATTCTTCCAAGAATAGACTTTCCTGTCTTGGGAAAAAATGTCCTTAGTAACTGGAAGAATTTAGAAAAAGTTATTGTATTCATATCGTCAACTGAAAATTACGTCACGTACTGTCACGTGTGGAAATATTGTTTTTATTGTTGTGTTGACGGATTCAACCATTTTATTTTGATTCCTTGATACAGTTGTGTACGTTTGCTTGGGAGAGTGGTAATGCTGTTAGGAATTTTGTTTTATTGTTAATAGTTACTTTGTTTTTAATAAATTCATTTCGTTTATGCCTTGAAAAAGTCCACATTGCTGATTGATGCGTGGAAAGCCCTCAGGGCCGTGTGTTGAGATCGGAGTTGTATGCAGTACTTCTTTAAAAATATAAGCAAACCGATTTCAGATCCTGCGTAAAGTCCCTTAAGTTCACTCCGCACTAATAACTTTGGGAAAAATTACCAATTTATATAGGTTATACTATAAAATTTTTCTTGCAAAAATTGACCCGTCATTACTTTGAGCAAAGTGCCACATGTAAACATAACAAATCCACAGAGACCCTTTTAATTTCCGTTAGTTTTGGTCGACAATACAACAATACTCTTCCACTACATATGTGAAAAACGATTACAAATTTTGTGATCTCTTTGCATAAAAAAGTAACACAGCAATAATAAAATGTGTTTCAATATAGGCATGCATGTTTTTAAAATACTTTTTAACATTTTTATCTATTCCCCACTCATATTATGTGAACCCAGGTTCCTTTGAAACTTTGGACCAATAAAGGCATAAAAACTATAAACATTGGCTATTTCTCTCTACATTCTGTTCCAATGATTGATAAACTGTCTCGTTACTGGAATGCCACGATGGCTGATGGACAATTAATTTTGATTGATTCGTTTTGTGTTACTTACCAACACTTTGCAAGTCATTTAAAGACAGGAAACATTAGATTGTAAGAATTTATTTTTTGGCGATAAAAAGGAGGGCATTTGTGCGCAAGTTAATATAACGAACACAACCGGAATTGGAACTCGGTTCTCAGATTAACAATTCTGAGCCATTATCTATTACACCACCGGCACGGCCAAGCTTACAACTGGTATTCCCAAGCGGTCACCCTTCTAGGTACTGACTAGGCTCGACGTTGCTTAACTCGGTGATCGCACAGGAACCGATGTTTCAACGTGATGTAGCCGTAAGTCTTGGAGAACTTTAGTGGGCTGGGTGAGAACATGAGATGATCGTTCTCAAAGACCCTCTTTCCCATGCATTCCAAGTAATAATAATAATAAGAAGAATACGAAGAAGAAGAAGAAGAAGAAGAAGAAGAAGATTGAAAAGTAATAGGGGAAAGGAAAAAACAAAGGAAGAAGAAGAAGAAGAAGAAGAAGAAGAAGAAGAAGAAGATTGAAAAGTAATAGGGGAAAGGAAAAAACAAAGAGAAGAAGAAGAAGAAGAAGAAGAAGAAGAAGAAGAATACGAAGAAGAAGAAGAAGAAGAAGAAGAAGAAGAAGAAGAAGAAGAAGAAGAAGAAGATTGAAAAGTAATAGGGAAAGGAAAAAAACAAAGGGAAGAAGAAGAATACGAAGAAGAAGAAGAAGAAGAAGAAGAAGAAGATTGAAAAGTAATAGGGGAAAGAAAAAAAAAACAAAGAAGAAGAAGAAGAAGAAGAAGAAGAAGAAGAAGAAGAAGAAGAAGAAGAAGAAGAAGATTGAAAAGTAATAGGGGAAAGGAAAAAACAAAGAGAAGAAGAAGAAGAAGAAGAAGAAGAAGAAGAAGAAGAAGATTGAAAAGTAATAGGGGAAAGGAAAAAACAAAGAGAGGAAGAAGAAGAAGAAGAAGAAGAAGAAGAAGAAGAAGAAGAAGAAGAAGAAGATTGAAAAGTAATAGGGGAAAGGAAAAAACAAAGAGAGTAAGAAGAAGAAGAAGAAGAAGAAGAAGATTGAAAAGTAATAGGGGAAAGGAAAAAACAAAGGGGAAGAAGAAGAAGAAGAAGAAGAAGAAGAAGAAGAAGAAGAAGAAGAAGAAGATTGAAAAGTAATAGGGGAAAGGAAAAAACAAGAAGAAGAAGAAGAAGAAGAAGATTGAAAAGTAATAGGGGAAAGGAAAAAACAAGAAGAAGAAGAAGAAGAAGAAGAAGAAAATTGAAAAGTAATAGGAGAAAGGAAAAAGCAAAGGGAAGAAGAAGAAGAAGAAGAAGAAGAAGAAGAAGAAGAAGAAGAAGATTGAAAAGTAATAGGGGAAAGGAAAAAACAAAGGGAAGAAGAAGAAGAAGAAGAAGAAGAAGAAGAAGAAGAAGAAGAAGAAGATTGAAAAGTAATAGGAGAAAGGAAAAAACAAAGGGAAGAAGAAGAAGAAGACGAAGACACTACTGAAGTCTGAGTCAGCATTGACAATGTAGAATCATAACTTTAATGACAGTTATTCTTAGCTAATCTAAGATATTTTAAACCTTAGTAAGTTAAGAACCGTTCTTTGGCTTCAGTTGGCTTTAGACCAAATTCCCATATCAATATTCGTGTCTGTTCATTAAATTCAGCTTTTGTTTCCTTCAGGGTGTCACTTGTTTTAATCTCCAATATACATCCCGTGACCACCATGAGCATAGACAGGGTCGGCACGTACTTCCCCAGCACCCACCAAGGGGAGGCAAGCCTGAATGGGTGTCCCGGACAGTGGTTTGTAACTAGCTATCTTATCAACATTTGTTTTTTTTATACCTACATGGAAGAACGGTGGAGTAATGGATAGCGGCTCGGATTGCGGAATCTGAGAGCCGAGTTCGAATTCCAGTCAAATCCATTGCATTCGATTACGTGTGAATCCTCTTCCCCCAGCTATGGGTAAATAGCAGGACAGGCCCGATTCTGTAGCCTTGGATGGAAACTGGTCTACTGCAGAAATAAATTGCAACCTACTGCGGGAAAAAATCTGCCTCGTCCGTCATGATTTCTTTAGCTTGTATTAAGTTGTATAGTAATGCATAGCGGCTTGGATTAAGGAATCGGAGAGCAGAGTTCGAATTCCAGTCGAATCTATTACATCCACTTACCTGCTAATACCCTTGGGAAAGGTTTGAATCCTCTTCTTCTCCCCCCAGTTATGGATAAATAGCAGGACAGACCGGGTTCTATAGCCTGGGATTGCAGCTGGTCTACGGCAGAAAGAAATGGCAACCTACTGCGGGAAAAAAAACTGCCTCGTCAGTCATGCATCGAAAGATACATGATCACCTAAGCGTGTATCACGCATGGCACGTAATTGACTGATATCTACATTTATATACGTTACAAATTCAACTTAGAACAAATGACTATTAAAGGATGAAAAATTTTCGTAGATTTTGACGTCAATCTGGGGTCTTCTTTTTTTGTTTCGTCCAAGTCCGTGAATTTGTTTTGCTTATGCTTAGTCTCGAAATAACACTACATAAAATACACCATTTTTTTAAATCCATAATGTTGAATGTGTTAAAATTATTCAAATTTATAACAAGAAAAATCCCAAGTTGATGTTAAAAATTGGCCGCGTGAATTTATTTAAAGACAGAATGATCTGTTCTGTCTCTAATTCCTATTCCTACTTGAATTGTTCACCTATATTGTATAAAATCCATTACTGTACATAATTAGGTTACAATAAAATATATATTTTTATATATATACTACCTTATTGGGTCGCAAACTCTTCTTCTTCTTCTTCTTCTTCTTCTTCTTCTTCTTCTTCTCCTCCTCCTCCTCCTCTTCTTCTTCTTCTTCTTCTTCTTCTTCTTCAGGACGTGGGAGGTTATGGCTCTCCACAAGTTCGAATCCTTTGTAGTTTTTAAGGTTTACCTCCCCTCCCAGTACCTGTTATGCCACCCATTTACATAAATTAGTTAGGCAGATTCCTCGCTACTTTCCACTGTTCCTTTCGCCTCCAATATATCCTGTGAGTGTCAGATTCTCCAAGCCCTCTTTCCTTATTATATGCTTCAGAAATTTCAACTGCCTCTTTTTGATTTTAAGTAAAAGTGTCATCGATAGCGTTACTGAATTTCTAACTGACATTTTCTCCCAGGTTAGTTTGTCTTATTTTAGAAGTAGCCTCAATAGTATTACTCACTTGGGAAAGGACACTGTTATATTTAACAGCCCCCCACCCCAGGAGGGATGTATGTGGCACAAGGCCAAGTTTACCGTGGGCTTCTCCGAGCTGTAAGTATTCCCTTAGAACCCGTATAAACGAGTTCAGGGCCTGTCTACATCGTCCGGGTTCCTCTTTGCTCGAGGCAGAGAGTTCGACAGTTATGAACAGTCTGGTGCCTCCGATCATGACAAAATAAATAAATAAATAAAATAAAAATAGTAAAATAAATAATGGACTATTCCGTTTTGGTCGCGGGAGAAGACAAAAGACGCTGCTTAGTTTCAATGAAAAAAAAATGAAATAAAGATAAGTGTTTAACGTCTGTTTCAGTGAAAAAGATTGTCAATTTGAAATCTTTTCATTTGTACCTGCTTATTTCTTAAAACAAATACCAGCATTCATTATTTACATTAATCGGACTATTGTCCTCATCTTTGTCGTCATATTTATTACAACGTTTCGGCCGTTGTACGCTCAGGCCTTCTTCAGGTGGTTGGGATGTCGAACTGAACCCTTTATTTCGTTCACTGGAGTGGACTGTTCTAGTTCCACGTGTCATGTCTAATAGATGTCAGTTATCAGTTATAACTGATAAAAAGTCTACCCCAGTCTCTCAAGCCTTGTGTGGAGTGAAATTTAGTATACACTAGCAGTAGAGCCCGGCGTTGCCCGGGGATGTAACAGTAAGAGATAGATCAAGTATCGACCATCATAAAGACTGAAAAATAAAATTGACAAAGATTATTGTTTAAGGTTGACGGACACGCATGTCTTAATTAGTTTTTTTTTTGTTTTTGTTTTTTTACGAATTGGTCAAACCCAAACTCAAACAAAAACATTGTTTTCAATCGTTATGAGTCTCTACCGATTGAATAGAATTTTATTATAAACAATTGTCTTGTAAATAGAATTTTTAAAGCATTCTGAATGTAAAAATAAAGAAAAAAGTGTGTAAGACAATAAGAAACACTACCTGCCAAAAAAGTGAAGATTTGTTGAAATCGGTTGAAAAATGTAGGAAATCCGATCCCATATATAAACGAACACACACACACACACACACACACACACACACACACACACACACACAAACAACCTGGGTTTTATAATAAGTATAACTCGATATGAGTTGTCCCCCTTTCATTCTCGCGACAGCGATGCCTTTTAATTGTGTTTTCAAATTGATTTCGTGCAAAAACAAATGTGTTTTTCCAATTTTTGTCGCTGTCAGAACCACCGCAAGGTAATTTTACGTAGTCCAGTGAAGTTTTGTTGAAATCAGTTGAAAAATGTAGGAAATCCGATCCAATATATAAACGTACAGACAGACACACACACACAAGCTGGGTTTTATAATAACTATGATAACAGAAATAAATTGGCGCTGAACAAAGATTATTATTAGATTTGTTTCAGCTTGAAGGCACGGTGTTGAAATTTCGACAATAAAAATAAAAATACGAAAAAAAAAAGAAGAAAAAAGAACACGTGACTCATAATTCTCTGACGCCGTCTTTAAAGGTTTATTAATCGAACGCTTTTAAAAAGAAAAAAAAATTACCGCACCCTCTTACATAAATTGTTTCTCTTTTCCTCTTTGACGGCTAGATTTTTAGGAAACATTTTTTTTCAGGTCGAACTTATTTTCATCCGTATTTATTTTCCTATTTTCGTAAGGCGAGGAAAGAATGCATTGGATTTAGTTGTACTTTAAACGCTTCATCAGATACGTCTATTAAAAAGTGAGGGAGTTATTCAACAAAAGGTGGATGTCACCGACGCCCGTCGACCGGTGTCGGGTAACTCTCAAAGAAAAATGACTTTGGGGACAAACTAAAAGCAACTCCTTAAAGACCGCAAAATGATTAGCATTTTTGGTTTTGTGTTTGCTGATACATGCGTGTGAATTAGATATTGAATTTAATTTTTGTAGTATATTATTTCCACTTCCCCTTCTTATATATGCATAATGTGTGTGTGTGTGTGTGTACATATATATATGTGCAGACATGTAGAAAAATAGGAAAGAACACGTTAGGTAAATAAACCGGAGTTCTTTAGTATTTTATT